CTGCCCAAGTTTTCTTCAGGAGCATCCTACTTAGTTTCTTAAGAGAATGGAATTCTGCTTTATATATGTTGGTAAGCTGAATAGTGGAGGGTAACTGAGTCCTCTTGCTGACGTTGTTTGAAGTCAGACTAAAACAAGGGTGTATTTACACAGCTGACCGGCAGGACTGGAACTCCCTTCTCTTGCCTGTAACAGCTAACATTACCCAGTTAGTGATTCCAGTTCTGGTGTCACGTAGTAGGCAGTCATAGGAATGTAAGGAGAGAGCTATATGGGCACGGCTTAAAACTTAAAACGTCTTTGGAATGTTTTGTTACCCTCTTAAGGCAAAAACCCCCCTGGAGCAGGAAATTTTCAACCTCCTCAATAAGAACAAGCAGCCAGTGACAGACCCTTTACTGACTCCTATGGAAAAGGCCTCCCTGAAAGCCATGAGCCTGGAAGAGGTAAGTGTCCCAGGCCCTTGGATACACCCAGGCATCCTATGCTTCAGCCAGCATTCACCCTCAATTGAGCCAGGAAGTCACTGTAAATGTAATTTGTTGTAGGCCAAGATGCGCCGAGCGGAGCTTCAGAGGGCCCGGGCTCTGCAGTCCTACTATGAGGCTAGGGCTCGAAGAGAGAAGAAAATCAAAAGCAAAAAGTAAGGAGGCCCCTGTGGGCTGGTCTTGGGTTTCGTGGAAGATAGTGATGTGGCTGGTCGTGAATTCTTTGGAGAGAGACGTGGTAACTAAGGTCATGTAGAAGAGGTCTCAAACAGGAGTGCTAGCCTTTCCCCCACAGACCAACTTCATCCAGTTGTGCCTATTTCAGTAATGCCTTTTCTGGCTTTGGCTGCCATTCTTGGGTTTGCCATAAAGGGGACTGTTCCATTATCTTCTCTCCCTTCCAGGACATCACAGGGTAGTTCTGCAGAGTGAACTCCAAATTCCACAGCTGTCGAGGCCAGTAGGCCTGCCTTCCTGCCTTTCTGTCTCTGTGGATGTTGTTTTGTTCCTCCCTTGGGCTGAGGAAGCAGAGGGGACTCTTGGCAGAGGTCTGCCCTGGGGGCTGCAGGGACCAAGAGTCTTGCCAGGTCTCCATATAGTCCCTGCTATCAGTTAGCTCTCTGATGTCTGGTCTAGTCTGTGCAAAGGGGAGCATGGAATATTCTTGCATGTGGCATCAGTGCTTGAGCCAAATCTCAAAATCCTTCCCTCCTGTCCCTCTTACTCTGTAGGTATCACAAAGTTGTGAAGAAAGGAAAGGCCAAGAAAGCCCTGAAAGAGTTTGAGCAGCTGCGGAAGATGAATCCAGCTGCGGCATTGGAAGAACTGGAAAAAATTGAAAAGGCCAGCATGATGGTGAGACTGACTGCCTATTACCCGCAACCTCTTTGAACCAGCCTGCCAGAGAAGATGCTGAGGATCTCGTTTTTCTTTCTTTCCAGGAACGAATGAGCCTTAAGCACCAGAACAGTGGGAAATGGGCCAAGTCAAAGGCAATTATGGCCAAATATGACCTGGAGGTAAGAGACCATCAGGGCCAGAGAAGAGATGGAAGTGGAGAACAGAAAGGAAAATCAGTCCATGCTAGCAGAAGCAGAGTTGGGGAAGAGCCATGAGTGATGGATGGAAAACCAGGAATCTAAAAAGACATCAGAAAAATCTAAGGCAGAGAGGAAAATGACCAGAAACAAGGTGGAAAAGGAGAGATGAAAGGGAAACAGCATTGAAGGCAAGTCCAGTAAAGGGGAGAAAAAAATTTTATTTTCATTTTACATGTTGATTCCTTGAGGACAAAGATTTTGTCTTCTGTTTTATTCCATAGCTACTAACACAGTGTCGTATGTGCAGTTTAAATAGTAGTTATCAGTAAGAAACATGTATCACCTCACATCAGAAGAAGGTACCTTTAAGAAAGGCTCAGGAGGTCGGGCCAGCAGGTGGCGTAGTGGTTAAGGCACTGGACACTCCCACTTGGCCGGCCATGGTTCAAGTTCCGGACCTGGTGGCTTGCTTTCTCACTTTCCCTCTCTCTCCTCTCTGCATCTCTCTCTCTGTGTCTCTCTCTGGTCAAATTAAATGAATGAATAAATAATATTAAATAAATAATTCTTTTAAAAAAAAAAAGAAAAGAAAAATTAATGGATCAGGAAGGGGTCAGCAGGTGGTGTAGTGGTTATGGTGCTGGACTCATACATGGCTGACTGTGATGTGAGTCCCAGACCCGGCAGCTTGAAAATCATGCCAGGCATATGTGTTTGTGTGCCCAAAATCCTGAGAGAAGAGTGGAGGCAAACGGATTGAGGACCCCTCCACGCAGGTGATTTCTCACTTTCTCTCAGGCAAGCACAAGAACCACGTGGCAAAAACCTTTAAGAAAGGGCTATGGCATACTACTCAGCCATAAAAAAATAACAAGACCCTGGCATTTGATAGAAAGTGGTCAGATATGGAGGATCTATTGCTGAGTGAAATAAGCCAAGATACGAAAGAAAGATATTGTGTGTATCCACTTAGTATATACTGACTATCCGCACTCTATGGTAGAGATAGAAATTTTGGAGGACATAAAAGCAGTGCAAATAGTTAACGAGGATAAGGCAGTGCGGAATGGGGCAGAACAAGAGAAGAGGATAGAGAAAGATAGCAAGAGAGTAGAGAGGCATGACATTAGTAGGACACAGATATGGTTTATTACCTGTTGATGATGGCATGTATAGTATTCTCAACTGGATTGGTCTGAGAAGCATTTCATGTTGGGTAAAGTCTTTTTACAAGCAAAATGAGAAACTGTGATTGACTGTTTAAAAAAATAATTGGAATAATAATAATAATCGGGAAAAAAATGAAAAGCTATTGGATGATGAAGATGGGGATTTTAATGTCTCTGTATTGACTGACATGCATGGTATTCCTTCTGGTAAAAGAAATGTAATGCACTGTAAAGTCGTACGTGATTCAATGTAATATAAATAAGATTATGATAATAAATCAATTTTTTAAAAAGAGAAAAAAAAAGAAAAAAAAAACTTTAAAAAAGGGGGAAAAAAAGGAACCAGCTGATAGTGTAATAGTTATGTCCAGTGACATAACCATGTAGTTGACTGTGGTTCGAGTCCCGGATCCAACAGCTTAAAACTCACACTGGACACATGTATGTACATGCCCAAAATCCTGAGAGGAGACTGGAAGAGAAGGGATTGCGGCATGGCCATCCCCCCCGGGGGTGATTTCTCACTTTCTGTCTCTCTGTCTCTTTCTATCTCTCCAGTGCGTACACACACCCTATAGCAAAAAATCTCTCTTTAAAAAAAAGGGGGGAGGACCAGGAGGTAGTGTGGTGGTTAAGGCGCTGGATGCTCCCACATGGCTGACCACGGTTCAAGTGCTGGACCTGGTGGTTTACTTTCTCATTTTCCCTCTTTCTCTCTCTGTGTCTCTCTCTGTCAAATTAAAAATGGAACAATTGGCCAAGAACAAAGAACTGACGCAGAAACTCCAGGTAGCCTCGGAGAGTGAGGGCGAGGAAGGAGGCCCGGAAGAGGAAGAACTCCTTGTCCCCGATGTAGTGAACGAAGTGCAAATGAATGGCGATGGGCCGAATCCCTGGATGCTCAGGAGCTGCACCAGTGATACAAAAGAGGCAGAATTCCACGAGGACCCCGAACAACTACCAGAGCCTGTGGCCAGCGAGGCTTCTGAAAGTGAGGGAGATGAAAGGCCAGTGGCAGAGGAAGAAATGTTGTTGAAAGAATTTGAGGAGAGGCGATCCCTTAGAAAACAGTCTGAGCTCCACCAGGACGCAGAGCTGGTGGGCAGTCAAGAAACAAAAGGTGAGCTGTGGGAAAATGGAAGGGGGCACTTCCTAGTGCTGCGGACGGACTCTGAGAGGAAACATGAGCATCCACCCGCACACGCTGCAGAGTGGCTGGGCTCTGGGGATGCCCCAGAGTGAGCACACTGGTCCCTGAAGAGGAATTAGACTCGTAATAACAATTTTTCTTCAAAGGTATTTAATAATCTGCATGGCTGTGTGGTATGTTCAGACACATTTTCTCTTCTTGGGGTTTATAGCCCTCAAAGAGACATAACTAAATCATCCCGGACATGAGGACACAGGGCAGCATTGCTGGTACCTGCAAACCAGAGAGACGTGTGCGCGGCCGGGGGCATATGGGAAATGCATTCACGCCTATCGGTGGGTTTGGGGACGATTAGGAAACTTGTTTAAATTGCTAGGGTTTTTCATTCCATTTCTAAATTAGGAGTGGCACTTTTAGCGCTTCATCATGTTAGCGTGCATGTCAACGTAGGGCGAGACCGGACAGGAATGATGGACTCTACGGGCTATGTCTGAATGAGAGTTGTGACTCCACGCTCGGACTATTTGTACGTTACGCTTCCTACCTGTTATCTTGAAGAGATTTTATGTTAACAGTGTGAGCACCCTAGAATCTGGTCAGAGCGCTCCCACTCTGGAGTAAACCAGGACATTATGAAGCTTGCATAGGAAACTACATTGAGAAATCACCTGGTTGTCTGAGCAGATCCCCATGATTTTGATTTGATTTCACATAGGAACAATGCATTTAGATGATAGCAAAAACCTGTGTTTGGATGGCAAAATGGTATTTATTTATTTTGCCAGAGAGCATGTGCACATGAGGTGTGTGTGGAGGCGGGGGAGGGGGGAGTGAAGCACTCCCCAACAGGGCCTGGCCACTCTAATCCTTTTTTCTCCGGGTCTCTATCCTGTCAGGATCCTGGGCATGTACACACACTCAGTATGTGTTTTGCCCCTGCCCGAGGACAAAGAGATAGGGTACCCCAAGAGGAAGGGCTGTGGATTGAGAAAAGACAGAAGAGACAAAAGCGGGGTCACCTGACCAGCACTCTTTTATAGGGTAGGCAAAGCCACATGCTTCAGCAGTGGAGCACCTCATGGTTTCTTTCTTTGTGTGTGTGTGTCTTTGTTTAGAGGTTTTGCATGCCCTGCAGCAATAGCGCAAAGACTGTGTCTGCTTTAAGGTGCTCCCTGCAGTGTTTCGAGCTGCTGGGGCTGAAACTCAAACCCAGGTCGCAACTCAAACTCTGGTTGGCCATGTGAGATCTGGCTTCCTCTGGGCGGCTTAATGGTACTCTATGGAGTTGGCCCAGCAAAGATTTTGTTGTTGTTGTTGTTTAACGAGATTTCTGCTAGGGACCAGCAGTTAGCCTAATAGCTAAGTCGCTGAACTCCCACGTAGTCAACCGCGGTTCGAGTCCCGGACCCGGTGGCTTAAACTCATGCCGGGCGCATATGCGTGTGTGCCCAAGATCCCGAGAGGAGAATGGAAGAGAAGGGATTGCGGAATGGCCATCCCCCCTGGGGGGGTGATTTCTCGCTTTCTGTCTCTCTGTCTCTGTCTGGTGAGCGCACACGCCCTATAGCAAAAACCTCTCCAAAAAAATTTAAAAAAGAGAGAGATTTCTGCTATAGGACGAATGCGCTTACCAGAGAGACAGAAAGTGAGAAATCACCCTCCAGGGGGTACTGCCACACTGTAATCCCTTCTCCTTTCTCCTCTCAGGATCTTGAGCACACAGACACACAGTGTGAGTTTAGACTGCTGGGTCCAGGACTCGAACTGCAGTTGACTATGTGGGAGTCCAGCGACATAACCATTACACCTTCTGCTGGTTCCATAAAGATTTATTTTACAAGAGCTGTTATTTGGAATGTACTGGAGGGACCTTTCATTAACAGTTTCCAGCTAGAGATTTCTGGGATTGCTAATTAGGTCATGTCTGAGAGGGTTTTAGAAAGCAATGCTACAGGCTAAGATTGTGGTGCAGTCTATATATGACCACAGGATTCTAGCAGTATCTTCTTCCTTTAAAACTGATCATCTAGAGCACTGGATGGTTGCACAGTAATAAAACATGATGCTCTGCAAGGCCAACCCACCTGAGAATGTTCTAGGTTCGTGTCTAGAGACCTCCTTGAGTACAGCAGGCATGCATGTGTCCATGATTGGGACTGGTAGAAGGCTGGGGGGGTAGGCCATAGCATCAGGACCCTGTTAGGGAGTCTCTCTCTCTCTCTCTCTCACTCTTGGAAGAAGTAAATTCTTTAAAAAACAACATTTTTTTAAAACTGATTACCTAGTTAAATGTATACAACAGTAGGTTATTTATTTATTTTTTTTGGAGAGGTTTTTGCTATAGGGTGTGTGCGCTCGCCATACAGACAGAGAGAGACAGAGAGATAGAAAGCGAGAAATCACCCCCCGGGGGGATGGCCACACCGCAATCCCTTCTCCTCCATTCTCCTCTTGGGATCTTGGGCATGCACGCACACATGCCCAGCATGAATTTAAGCCACCGGGTCTGGGACTCGAACCGCGGTCGACTACATGGGAGTCCAGTGACACAGCCATTACGCTAACTACTGGTCCCCCAGCAGTAGGTTTTTTGATGAAAAATAGATTTGAATGTCCTTGGATAATAAATAGGAATTTCTCAATCTGCAAAATAATGGCCTCAAATAGTGGCAAATCATGAACCCCAATCAAAATGAGCAAAGAAACTTGATTGATCAGACATAAACATATACACGTCCAAAGGCCAAATTGAAGGAGGTGCAGTGGCATCAAGCCAAAGCTAGAGAGCAGGATCGGCTTGGGAATGGAGGCAACCTGAGGCAGTGCAGAGGACACTTTAAAGGAACGGCATTTTATGTTCCTACAAGGCTCTTGTGACTGGTGGTATTTGCTCAACATGTTGCCAGTGATTGGAAGCGAAAGCTACATCCACTTTAGAGAGCAGCTAATTCACCTCTTTTTGACCCAGTCACAGAGATTATGAGGTAGTGAGTTAAAGTATGGAACAGGTGGGCCAGACGGCGATGCAGTGGTAAAAGACAATACTCGGCAAGGCAGTCACACGTGGGAAAGTTGCTGGTTCAAATCTGAAGGCCTCCCTGAGTACACTGGTCACCTTTACGCCCATGATCTAGGTCTGGCTGAAGGCTAGACTTTTTTCTTTTTCTGGAGAGGGTTTTGCATGTAGGGTGCATGTACTCGCCAGACAGAGTGAGACAGAGAGACAGAAAGCAAGAAATCACCCCCCCAGGGAGGATGGCCATACCACAATCCCTTCTCCTCCATTCTCCTCTCGGGATCTTGGGCATGCACGCACACGCACCTGGCGTGAGTTTAAGCCACCAGGTCCGGGACTCAAACCGTGGTCGACTACATGGGAGTCCAGCGACATAGCCATTACGCTAACTGCTGGTCCTGAGAATGGAGATTTTTGAGGCAATATCAAACAGTCCTGGATGAGGGTTTTTCTACCACCACCCCTAGTTTGCCAGAGAGTGTGTGTACTCACCAGTGATGGGGAGGAAGGAGAAAGCACCCCATGGGGTGTGATCATGGCACAGTTCCTTCTCCATTTCTCCCTCCTTTAAGGAGTTCGGGCATGCATTCACATGTACCCAGCGTGTTTCCCAAGCCACTGTGTCTGAGATGTGAGCTGCATGGTCAGCCATGTGGCATCCAGCTACCTTAACTGCTATGCTATGGGCCGGCCCCCTGGATGAGGGTTTTAGAAGGAGCAAAACATAAAGTACAATGAAGCTGCTTTCAGAGACCACCTGTTAAAGTGGTTCCCTTTTTTCAATTTTGGAACTTCGGGCTATCTCCCCAACCAGGCTTTGCCTCACAGGGAAGTTAAGCCACAGTCCCAGTTGTACAGTGAGTTATTTGCAAAGTGGGGAGTAAGACCCAGGACATCCACTTCCCCAGCATGCTGCTTTTAGCTCCTGAACTCCATTCCCTGCTACCTGAAAGGTAAGGGTTAGCGAGTGTGCCAGGTGATCCAGCGGGCAGGATCTTCTCTTCCCCATTTGTCCTTGTTAGAATGTCTTAGGTGGCAGCTAGTACCCAGTGGGTGCTCAACAAATCCTCATTGACAAGGCAACTTCCCAGCCACCTTTTCTGACAGCTTTCATTCCCACTCTACCCCCACCTCAGATTCTAGCAGCCAGGAGGTGCTATCTGAATTGAAGTCACTGTCTAAGAAACTCAACGAGCAAAAACATATGGTCAGGAAGCCAAAAGTGAGTTCAGCAGAGACCATTCTCCAGCTCCAGAAAGAGGCACCTGGCCCAGAAGAAGAGGAGCCCCTGTTGCTGCAGAGGCCAGAGAGAGCACAGACGGTGGAAGAGCTAGAAGAGCTGGGCAAGGAAGGATGTTCTCTGGATAAGGAGCTCCCCAGACCTGTGTCAGGAGTGCAGCGGTCAGAGGGGACCCTGAAGAATCAGCCCAATGCCCCTAAGAAGAAAAAGGAACACATGATTGATCTACAGAACCTCCTCACCACAAAATCTCCTTCTGTGAAGTCTTTGGCAATTCCCACAACAATAGAGGAGTCGGTGAGCAGAGCCAGGGGCGTGGGTCATTGTGAGGGGTCAGAGCTGGTGCAGTGCACGTGGCCTTTGCATGTGGAGTCAGGGAAGCTTTGTTTTCCTGGAGCACATTCCAGTAGTTGAGAGGTTCCAAGTACTGTGGGGCCAGCCTATCCCCAGCAGTTGTCGAATAGGTGCAGATATGTGGGTACTGCTGGACCCTTATACCCTAACTCCTGACCCACCAAAACCTCCCTGGCATGACTCAAACTGCCCTCAGAGGAAGGAGAGACTCATTCAAAGCTCTGTCTGCATACCAGGCAGCGTGGCTCAGAGGCGAGTTGCTGAGCTGCTGTCAAAGATTGACTCTACTCAGTGGGATCTCAAGTAGTCCAGGGCTCGCCCAATTAAGTCATTGAAACAGCTAACAGGAACCCTGGCACTTGTCTGTCCAAGGACATGAGCTGGAGATAGCCACATTCTGGCCAGGCCGGCTAACACAGGCCGTTCCTTCCTCCACCCTGTAGCTTCCTCACTGACAGTTTAAAATTGTGTCATATGATAATGAGCTAGGGGTATTTAGCCTAGACAGAAGAAAGTTGGAGCCCTGTTGGCTACCGACTGGTTTTGTATTGCGGGGCCATCACCGTTCAGCACTTCCCCCTAGGGGGCGCTAAAATGTCACGACCCAAAATTGAACTGGTCTTGCCAGGAGCCTTAGCTCTTAAGGCAAGCTATAGCTCTCACTGCTGCTGCTTCTTCCCAGGAAGATGAAGAGGAGAGAAACCAAAAGCAGATGATAAAGGAAGCTTTTGCTGGAGATGATGTCCTCAGAGACTTCTTGAAAGAAAAGAGGGAAGCTGTGGAAGCGAGTAAGCCAAAGGACGCCAAGGGACCGGGACCTGACGCTGCCTGGCTGGGGCGAGTGGGGTGGCGTGGGCCTGAAGCCCAGTGCCAGGAAAAGACGCCGGTAAGGACAAAGAAGAAAGTCTGTCAGGAGGGCACTGAGTTCTCCCACCTTGCCCTTAAATGTTTCCCCTGTCTTTCTGACTAAGTACTTAATGCTCCTAGTCTGAAGTCCTGTCCTTTTGCTCTCCAGGTTTCTCATTAAAGCCCCTGAGGGTCCTCCACGAAAAGACAGGAACCTGCCCAATGTGATTATCAATGAGAAGCGCAATATCCACGCAGCAGCTCATCAGGTGAGGCTTAGAGAGCTCTTTAGCTGCCTGCTCTCTTCACTTCAGAGAGAGATGCGAAGTGAGAAATCCTCACTGCCCTGCTCTACTGCTTGGGAGAGCTTACTTGTTCCTAGTTGATCTGGGGTCAAAAAGCGGTGTGTGACCCTGACCACAGAGTCAGATCTATTGTTGCACTAACTGGCTGTGAGATGAACCTTAGCTCGGCGGCGCTGTTTTAATTACGGACTGGGAAGGTTTAGACCTAAAGGATAATCTTTGCAGCAGTGGTGAGGTCCCCAGATCTGCATTTAGAGCTAATCACTGACACGAATGGGTCTTACCCAAACCAAGAATTAGACCTAGCCTAGGTACAGTTGCTAGCTAACTGAACTGCAGTGCGGGATGCCACATGGCTGACTGCAGGTTAGGATCCCCAGGTCCGCCTGAAAACACCCCAGGTTCGTGGGTGCCCAAGGTCCTAAAGAGCTGGAGGGCTGGGGAAAGGGGATCACAGCGTGATGAGACCTGTCAAGCATGCTTCTCTTTCTGTCTATTGCCTCTGTCCATCTTGAGCTCACACATGTGCACTCTATCATGAATGAAATAAACCAAAAATAAATAAATAAATAAAAACAAAGAATTATCATTCTGCAGGTTTGTATCTGTAGTCAAGGTAATGGTCAGAGGCTATAAGGTTTAAGTGCATCTGAAGAAAAATGAAGACAAACTAGTACCTGCTTAGGACAGTGAAAGGATTTTAAATAGTGTCATATGATAATAAGCTAGAGATATTAACAAGAAAGAAAAACAATTGAGCAGGGGGCCAGCAGGTGGCATGGTGGTTAAGGCACTGGACACTCACACATGGCCGACCATGGTTCAAGTCCCAGACATGGTGGCTTGCTTTCTCACTTTCTCTCTCTCTCACCAAATTAAAATGAATGCATAAATAAAATTAAAGAAATCATTTTAAGAAATAAAATTTTTAAAGTTGAGCATGATCACATGAGCAAGAGAGACAGAACTATAACACCCTCAGCAGGGTCCTAATGGTGCCATCCCCCACCAGCCTTTAGCCAGCCTTTTATCACAGCACACATGTGTCTGGCATACTCCGGGGTTTCCAGAGTTGAACCTGCAACCTTCCTGTGTGGAATTGCCTGGCAGAGCCTTGTGATTTACCTCAGCACTGTCCTCTGGCCCTATGTGGTGTTTTTTTATTTTTAAAAAAAATATAATCACAATAAGCTGACAAGTAGTTTTCCAAGAATCTCTTGATTTCCCTCATCTTTTTTTTTCTTCCTTTTTTTAAGCTTTTGAGGTTTTTTCCATAGGGTGCATATACTTGCTGGAGACAGAAAGAGAGAGAGAGAGAGAAGGGGGGAGGGGGGAGGAGAGAGAGAGAGAGAGAGAAAGTGAGAAATCACCCCCTAGGGGTGTAATGGCCATGCTGCAAGCCCTTCTCTTCCATTCTCCTCTCGGGATTTTGGGCACATGCGCCTGGTGTGCTTCTCAAGCTGCTGGGTCCGGAACTCAAACCATGGTTGGCCATGTGGGAGTCCAATGCCTTAACCACCATGCCACCTGCTAGCCTCTTATCTTTTTAATGAGCTATACACTATGGGTTCCAGCATACAGTTAAATAAAGAGCTTCAAGATGGAGGAAGAAAGTAACTCCTGAGACTGAATACTTGGCCCAGGTGTTCTATTTTTCTCCTGGATGGCATGCACAGATCTAGCCATGAAACCAAATGAGACATTCCCCTAACCTAAGGACAGTTCCTTCACTACCATGAGGCCCACCAGATGGTACTCAACTTCTCTTGAGTATTCCCTGAATCTTTCCAAAGATTACTGATTTTAATTTTCCCATTTTTTTCTGCTTTTATGTTTTTTCTGCCTTTGGCCACTGGAGAAGCATTAAAAGATTATTTAAGTATTGGGGCCAGCAGGTGGCGTAGTGGGTAAGATGCTGGATTCCCATATGGCTGACCTTGGTTGGAACCCTGGACCTGGCAGCTTGCTTTCTCACTTTCCTTCTTTCTCCGTTGAGTACATATGCCCTATACCAAATTAACAATAATAAAATCAAGATATTTCTTTAAACAAAATGATGAGTACCGAGCAAGGAAATAGGAACCCTGTGCTCTGTTCTCCTATACTGCTTCTAATTTACTTAGATCACTTTCCTCGGGATTTGAGGCCCATGAGTTTCAAGCCACCGGGTCTGGGACTCAAACTGTGGTCGGCCATGTGGGAGTCCAGCAACTTAGCCATTATGCCATCTGCTGGTCCCGATCACTTTCCTCTCTAAGCCAAGCTTAGGGCCAAGGGAAGTGGCTGCCTTGAATATCTAAGGCCTTCCAGCTCCATCTGCATCCTGTGATGCTGAAGAGAATGAAGTGAAGCGTGACAGCCTGGTAGCGTTCAGGATTCGGGAGTATGCCTTTGGGTTTCCTAAGACACCAACCCTGTGGATCCAGGAGAGGGAAGGAAGAGCTTGCAGGCATAAAGAGAATCAAAGGGTCAGAAAATCCACAGGGCTCTGCAGATGCCTGGGTGCTTCTTGCAGTGACAGTGCTAGGGAGGAAAACCTACTCTGGCACAGCAGCCTTGGAGCTGTAGCCACACAAGGGTGGTGTTGGGGTAGGTTTTCAACACCCAGAGTGTTAGGTAAACTTAGGAGGGTCCTGATCCAACTTAGACTCCTGTACTCCCAGATGTCCTCAGCAGGTTGGGAACCCTACGGTTAGATGGGAGCACTGGGCTGCCTTGGCCATTTGGGAGTGTCCCTCACTTGCAACTGTCATATAGAACTGTGGCCTGCACCAGAACTACCTGACGAGCTGCCAGTAGCGTATACAACTGCACCCCAGGCCTGGCTCACACCAGCTCTCGTCCCCTTTCCTTTTCAGGTGCGAGTGCTTCCGTATCCATTCACCCACCATCAGCAATTCGAAAGGACCATGCAGACCCCTATAGGAACCACATGGAACACCCAGAGAGCCTTCCAAAAGCTGACTACTCCCAAGGTTGTCACCAAGCCAGGCCATATCATTAAGCCCATAAAAGCAGAGGATGTGGGCTACCGGTCTTCCTCAAGGTCGGACCTCTCTATCGTACAGAGGATGCCAAAACAGCTCTCCCTGCGTCACAAAAAACAGCTGAAGAAAAACTCCATAGAATAAGTTGCTGGAGGAGTGACGTCTGGATGTCCAGGACTAGAGCGCTCAGTGCGCCCTCTTTGGCCTACTCTTACGCTGTGCCACAGGATCAATTTTCAAACCAGCTGAGCACGCTGTAGGGTATGCCACATTTTAACAATAAAGGAATTTTTTAATCTATTTAACTGTAGTGTATTCTGTGTCGTCCCACATGTGAATCATTTTTTTCATCTGAAACACCTTTGGATGCTCCAACTTTGCATTTCTCTAGTGGCATCTGTCAGGAGAACCTTGTTTCCCTACCGAGGCTTGTGTAGCTGGTCCTAAATCAGAGTGCAGTAAACATCCCCTAGTCTGTGATCTAAAGTACATCACATCAGAAATCGTTCGTCGTACATAACTGCCGATTTGAAGAGTCGGGGATAACGGTCCACCATTGTATTTTAGCCTCTGAACTTAGCAGCAGGATGTAGGAAACCATCTGCATGTGTGAGCTTCCCAGCTTGTACAACTTGCCATGTAGAGTATCTAGCACTTACTTTCTCTTAACAGGACAGACTTTGCCCTTAATTTACAGGTGAAGTAGATGCAGTTTCCAAAGTGAGCCGCTATTCCTAACCCAGGGCCAACTCCACCGTCAATTCCAAGTCTAATTCCAACTGCAGTTTATTCTAGCATTACTTAACGCTACATGGCAGTTCATGTGGCCTTCTCAGCTCTAAGGAACTTGCCTGCCTTTGGATGAGAGAGCGCGAAAGCCCTCTGCTGCTGAGATCCCAGCAGGGAATTGGGGGGAACCCTCTCCTAGGATATACTCCTGCACGTCTACCTTGAAGACTCAGTCCACCCTCTACCTCTTCCCTTTTTAGACCAAATCGGGCTGGTTTTTGAGCATTACCACCCCTCTGAGGAGTTGTTGGAAGTTATGAGCCCTCCGTAGAAAAATGCAGACATGTAGACCGTTTTACCCGCTTCAGAAGCTTTGGAGACATTTAGAATCCATGAGCCGGTCGCTCTGTGACTCCAAGTTTTCTTTTGCAACCCCCTTCACGGATATGACCCTCTTTCCCCAGCACGCCTCTCTAACTCTGGTCCAAAATGTTTAGCCCTCAAGGGTAGCTCACCCCAATACCTATCTTTTCCAGGCAAAAGATGTTGGAGAACTGTGAGGTATCCCGTGTGAAACTGAACTCGGACCTTAGCCTAACTCTAAAGCCAAAAGCTATAGGACAAATTTCTGTGAGCCCCAGTGGTACCTGTGGTCCCCTACCATCACTCATCCTCCCAAGACATAAGCGCCAGGAAGGGATACAAATACGGTTTCCTAAATGTTCACTGCACAAAGGGCACTTTTAAATGATCAGTTGGCTTGAGATAATCCAGCAGCCACTTGCTGGTTAACACTTAAGACAGCAGCCAGTGGGGGGAAATGGGGGAACCTCTGCCCACTCCTGCCTCCGTTTTAGAGACCACAGCATTCTCACTTTTTGAGCACAAGGCTGACACCTCTGTCCCACCGGCCCCGCAAATTAAAACACCCAATCAAGTGTCCCCAATAAATGGCCAATCCCCGTCTACTTTCGCGGGACCCTCCTTAGCTCCGTTTGTTCCCCGTGTCCCCGAAGTGATGCGAGCGACCTCAACCTTCAGAGGAGACTGCAGGCGCCAGAACGTACTATAAACGACGCCCACTCCCAGCTCTCCGAGCCCCCAAACGGATTCGATTGTTGTTTCGTGGGGCTTTTTTTTTCTTTTCTTCCTCCGAACCTCCGAAGTGTTCTCCCTTCCCATTGGCCGAAGCTGCCCCTTGACGCCACCCTGGCTTTGCTCGCTGATTGGTCCATTCTGGATGTGCCCAAGCCTTTTTCCCAGGGTGTGGCGCCCCCCCGCCCCCAACAGGGTTCTGACCCCTGGCTCCTCCCTTCCCCCCAAGCCCCCCTCTCT